CAGGGCTTTTGCGAATATCAGATCAGCAGTGCCTGCTTTGAGGGATCAGCAGCTTCTTTTGGAACTGTGTCGCCATTGCATGTCTGCAGGATGTTTTCTACAAATAGATTAGAATGAAATTCTGTCTGTCCTTACAGAAGGAACCACAGTGTTTTAATGAGTTGGTAACTAAATGTCTTAATGCACATGATATTTTTCAAGAAGGACAGCCTTTAATAAATGAGGTTGGAATAGTAGAGTCCTATGATCCTAGTTCCATCCATGCCCCAGAGATGGAGGATGGAAGGGTATAGTTGGAAGGAAATTCTGTTCTAGTGGAAGGAAGTGGAAAATTTTCCACATGCTATAATGAAAATCAAACCACAGCCAACATTTCTGTGAAGAAACCACACATATTTCCATTTTATATAAATAGAAGTCTTCCAGTGGTGGCTTGGGCTTTGGAGCATAAATTTGGATTTTCTCATCTCCTTTGGGAGATTCCTGGGATAGCTATGCTCTTCAGTATGAGATTTTGAAATATAAATGAGATTATATTTTTCTCCTGGCTAAACTCCTTCAGTGTCTTCTCATCACAGTTAGAATTAAACCCAGACTCTTTACTATGATCTGTAAGACCCTATATGATCAGGCCCCTGGCTTCTTTCTCAATTTTTTTTACCATTCTTGCCCTCATTTATTAATCTTTCCTCCAGTAAGCTTATTCCTGCCACAGGGCCTTTGCACTTGCTATTTCCTCTGCCTAAGAGTTTTTTGTCTAGTATTTTGCATGGCTGATTGTTTGTTATGCTTGAAATACCAGATCAAGTGTCACCTTCCCAGACTACCCTACCTAAGGTAGCTATAGCCCAACTCCTCAGTTACTTTTTTATTATGCTATTGTGTTGTCTTCATGACACTTTTCACTATCAAAATTATCTTAATTTTTTCAACATATTTATTGTCCATATCCTCCCTTTAAAATGTGTCTCATATCCCTACATTCTAGACTAGAGTTTTTCATTCAGTAAATATTGAATGTGAATGGATGAATAAATGAATGATGAAGTCTCTATGTTACCTTAGCCCACACACATAGGATCCTGAAACTTTAGAAAGCACACGTGAAACATAGATTTTAGTAAACTAGGTACATGTTTCAAAGTCGCTGATCTTAGATCTTTGTCCTGTTATTGGTTTTTCTTTTTTCTAACTCTTGAGTATATGTAATGTTTTCATCTCCTACAAGCTTCTATTCTGATTGCATTTTAATGGGAGTAGTGCTTTCAATCTTTCCATTTAAACTGTGGGCAATTGGAATAATTTGTTGCTTTTCTAGGTCAGTTGATCATGTCTTTAAAAACACTTTTAGTGAAAATACAAATGACTTACAACACAATAACAAGAGCACAGCTTAGTAAAACATCTGTCAAGAAGTAGGAAAATGGTTTCTTGTTGTTTTTATAGCTATCATACATATTGATATATAGGCTCAAATGTCTAGATTTTGCTGTTTATTTTAATAAAATGACTTTTGCTTTTATTTAATCATTATCTTTTGCTTAAACATGTCAAGTCTTAAGAGGAACTATTCTTTCAAAATAAGTAGCCAATTCTCATTAAGATTGATAATCTGAGGAAAAGTGTATGGAGTAGTATGCATACTAGTAATTATGTTAGTGTTTTTGATGGACAAACTACTGATAATATGGCTTAATTATTCTGTGATTAAATCTTATCAAATTTATAGTATATAAATGAGGATATTTAGATATTTGACTTTTTTTGTAAAGTATTAAATATGCAGAGTTTTGAATCAGTAGAAACCAGTACTTAGCCATGGTAGTGGCCAGTATTTGTTAAATTAATGGAAAAATATTATATTTATGTATTTTCAACTTCTCGTTCTTCTGAAGGTTTGGGAAGATGCTGTCAGTGCCCTAATAAGATATTAATTAAACATTCATCAACCATTTATTGAGCATATGTTATTTAAAGTCATAGAATCAAAGCAAACACCTTTTTAATTCCTGCCCTCTGGAACTCCATTTATTTTCTTGCCTTCCTCCTTTTGTTCCTTTAGCAGATATTAGTTACTATGCTTAACCAATGGTGGGGGTCTTATCAGCACTGTCCCCATCATGAGTCTACTGAAAAGCTCCTATATTATGTAGGGAAGGGAAATTCTTCTGATGCTGGGGGCATTGAAACATTGTTGACATTCTGCTGGTATGAGAAGTACTAGGATAAATGACACGAACCCTGCCCTTACAGAACACAGTCTAGAAGGAGAGACAATATGTAAACAAAAATATTGCAAGTCAGTTTGATAAATGTGATAGTGGAAGTGTCTGTAGTATACTGCTTAAGAGACCAGGCATTGGAGTCAGTCTGCCTGGATTTAAATCTTGGGCAAGTTATGTAATTTTAGTTTCTTCATTTATAGAATGAAACCAATAATAGTATCTATTATTGAGTTGTTATGATGATTAAATGAGCCAATAGCATTCAAAATGCTTATTAGCTCAGGGACTGGCTCGTAAGTGCTCACTAGATGTTAGTTATTGTTTTTAACATTTTGTGATTTTTTTCATCTTGGGAGCATTAAGGAAACAATCAGAGATAAAGAGCCACATGTCTTGTGTCTAAAAGATGAAATGAACGGAAAGGAAATCATTCATTGATTTTAAACACAGTGAACAGTATGTGCTAAGGCATGGATGTCTAAGAAATTGTAAGTAGTTCAGGTATAGAAAATGAGTAAGCTCAGCTATCTTGAAATAGCTGCTAGAAAGGAATACCTGGAGGTCAGATGATAAGAGACTTTGTACACAAAGCTAAGGACTTTGGACTTTTTTCTGTGGGCTTTGGAGAATAGTTGAAGAGATTTTTTAAATGGGAGACTATATCAAATTTGCATTTTAGAAAAGTCACTCTAATAACAATGTGGGAAACAGGATGGGAGCAGAAGATTTCAGGCAGGAAACCTGTATCAGAAGATACTATCATAGTACAGATGGGACAAAATGAGAGGCTGAACCAGAGGAGTGAGAGGGGAAATAGAGAGCAGAGGCTGAATTTAAGAAGTTATTGAAAGTACAAATGACAGGATATAATGAGGGAGAAGATTAAGATGAACCTCAGGTTCTGACTTAGGCATCTAGACAGAAAATGTCTAGGGACCCAATTATGTCTGTCAGAGGGCCCCCTGAAAACTCCAACAAAGCATACTTCTTTTCTGCTCAGAGTAAGACAAAAGAATCAGCAGGTGAAGTAAGAAAACATTTCCTTTATTACTGACAAAAACTGCTAAAGCTGTATAGATTGAGTATTCCTTATCCAAAATGCTTGGGACCAGATGTGTTTCAGATTTCAGATTTTTTTGGATTTTGGAATATTTGCATATATTTAATGAGATATAATGGGGATAGGATCAAACACTAAACAGAAAATTCATTTTTGTCTCATAGTGTTGAAGTCAAAATAGAATGTAGAGATGACATTTTTAAATGTTTTATTTGGGAATCACAGAATTGCAATTCAGGGCATACAGACAGGCAAGGGTGGTCTTTAGTATGTCCAAAGAAAAAAGAGAAGGTCGGGGGTTTTATTAGAAAGAGAAATGTTATATATTGTTTTGAAAGAAAGCTCACCAGCACTAGAGAAGCTTTTGGGAGCTGGCGAGTTCTGATTGGTGAGTGAAGGCAATAGGTAAAACTGGTCGTAGGGTTATGACAGGCCACTTCAGCAGCTGGGCTTGCAGAAAATTCAGTTCTTAGAGCAGGTGCTATATGCCACGAGTGCTTTCCACCCCCCGGCCCCTCGACTCTGAATTAGTTAGGTATAATAAGAATAACCCAATTCATATAATCAATTTCATAACACCTTATAGCCTGAAGGAAATTTTATACAGTATTTTTAATAATTTTGTACATGAAATAAATTTCATGTACATTGAACCACCAGAAGGAAAAGGTATCACTATCTCATGTCAGTTATCAAAAAGTTTTGGGTTTTGGAGGATTTGGGATTTTCAGATTAGGGATGCTCAACCTGTAACACGTGCTCTTAATACAAGAGCCAAAGTTGTCTTGCTTATGATATCCCTCTAAGACGCCCCACCCGAGAAGTCATCTGACTCTGCACAGCAGACGCACCTCTTCCCCATCACCTCTTCCGACTGGTTCAGCAAAGAAGAAAAGAGAAAAGAAGTCAAATTACCTTTCATGTTGATTTCCTCCTGACTGATGTCCACCAACCAGATAATTCACTCCCCATGGTACAGAGGAATACAGGATAGGGCAAGATGCAAGAAGCTCTATAATAATGCTGTCAACAAGATAGGAGTAACAGAAAGAGGACTGAATTTGGGGTGGGGAAGAGGAACGAGGTCATGAATTCAGAGTTTGAGATACATTAGTCAGTAGGACATAAAGGTTGTCACTCCAAACTGCTTCTTAAGTCACAGTTTACTTATTCATCTGCTTAATGAGGACGTTGGCCAAGCTAGAGCCACTGACAGGTATTACAAATTAAGAAACCTGTACAGCATAACAAGAATCTTTCTAGTGAATAGAGTTGTCCATCTGACAACTCTGTTGTTGTCAGTGGCTGACAACACTGGCAAATGTTGTCAGCCACAAATGTTGTTTGGTGAAGGTTTGTTGAAGGTGCTGAGGAGAGGATTTCTTAATGAGCTAGAGGTTGAACAATGACTTCTAAAGTCCCTTCTAACTTTAAAAAACAGTGATAGAAGATGCTCAATAAATAAACAACGATTTGACAACATACTAGTAACATTTTATAGCTTATATAAAAATCCATATAGCTATAGTTCATTTTACATTTATGGTATAGCTGCATGGATGTTTGAAGAATTTTGATATTTGAGGAATGTATTCTTCAGATAAAAGTGAGATTAGAACTTTATCTTGGCTAAAAGTTTACAGGAAATAGAATGTATTATTGGTATCAGTTAAACTTTAATTATTTGTGTATTTGAGTTTTCTTTTATTTTTCAGGATAAACAATTTAGAAATGAATGTTATGATGCATTTTATATATGGAGGAACTTTGGACTTTCCAGACAAAGCTAATGTTGGGTATGTATTACTTTTTAATAATTTAAAATATAACTATGTTAATATTTGGCAAGTTCTGCCTCATTGAGCTATGTTGCAAAGTGTCATTGAAATAGAAGCTTAACTTTTATTATCTATTTTGCCATATCTTGATGATGTTTGGGAATATGAAGAAACAATAGACAAGTCACCTTATTTAGAAGAAAAGATGATTGAGCAACTCACAGTAATAAGATTTTTTACAATCTGTACTAGATTTAATTTATGTTAGAAGAACTTTATTTTTGTTTGGAAAATAAATCATAGGTTTTTATAAAATAAAATTGATCAAACTTTAAAAATTATTTTACTATGTTTTTTTTTAATTTTAAGTTATCTTTTTTAAACAGCAAAGGAAAAGCAAAAAGAAAACCTTTGAAATTTGTTTAAGAATATAGGCCATCCTAAAGACCAACAACTATGTGATTCTTAAGTACGCTATACTGAAGTGCCATCTAAGCTCCTGAAATCCTGCTGGAAAGTGAAATTCCACCTTGCTCTTTTAATTTTCTGAATGTCTTCCTATCTTCTTGCTATTCTAACATTAGACAAGTGAAAGCTACTCTTTCAATTTTAAAAATTCTTTGGTTCCTTTAATTTTGAACTGAATATATTTGGGGGGAGAACAAATCATGAGTCATAGAGAATAGTACTAAAGTTTTATCCCCTGGCAATATATAGGAAATTTTATCATGCTTTCAAGGCTTGTAGGCTTCCTAAGTACCTAAAGTATGTTAGGTACTCAGAAATACTTGCCAAATGAAAGAAGCAAAGGAAACTTTCTGGCCCATGGATGCTGTTTCCAGTCAGAGTCATTTGCAGACATTTTCAATATGACAAGACATCAGTGAATCGCCCCCCCGACCACAAAAAAATACTTTTATTATACAAATTTGTTGCAAAGAATTATTTTGTAACTTTTAGCTTTCAAAGCAGTTTCCTGAATTTTGCTCTGTGTGTCACAGAGCAAAAAAAGGGAATTTGAAACATCTCCAAATTTACCTCCTGCTATTCTCTACTAATCAAATCATGTATCAGTGCTTTCAACTTTAGTTAGGCCTATGTTCTTTTTATAATCCATAAATAATATGCATTATGTAAGGCAGAAAGTGATAATTATAATAATTCAGATTATTTTTCTAAACAGACTATATATTATCAAGAAATTATTGTATATTGTTCCTTGATTTTTAATAGCGTATCTATTTTTATTTTAGTCAGATACTCAATATGGCTGATATGTATGGACTAGAAGGATTAAAAGAAGTAGCAATCTATATTTTAAGAAGAGATTACTGTAATTTCTTTCAGAAGGTAATTATTAAGTCTCAGAAATCTTTTACTTAATGCTTTGTCACCCATTATTACCTACTAGATTTTTAACCCTGATTAAGTATAGTGCTTTAAATATTAAAAATATTAAGTCAGTTTAAGGGGAGCTCCAGTTGAGAAATAATGTATATGGTCTGCTTGCAAAAATCAAAAACCAAGTCAAATTATTTTAAGTAAAATAAAACTGATGTGGAGGGTTTATTGAAAGAATGTAGGAGTATCCTATATAATTCAAAGGTAGAGTGTACAGCTGGGACTCAGGGTTTGAAACTGGGAGAAAGGAAGTCAAAAATTAAGGTTACCTTCTCCATTTATTAAAGAACTACACAGTGCTTTATTGATTATTTTCTCCAAAAGTATACTTCTTCCTTCTACTACCTCTCTTTACAGTGTGTACTTGGGGTAGAGTATAGTTCTCTTCTACCTGTTTCCCCAGGTGGAATATGAATACTAAATATTTTTATTTTTAGTTACTACAAAGATAAACTTATTGTCTAAAGAAAGATCCCATTCTATGCATTTCAAAGCCATTTTGTACACTATTCTTAGATTGTCCATTGTTTTAATGTATTCTGTGACTAGGTTATTTTTATTTTCTTATTTATGCTTTTCTATATTTTCTAAATTTTCTACAATGAGCATGTGTTACTTTTCTAATCAACAAAAACAAATCTTAAAAAATTGTTTACATCATATTTCTCTCTTATTGGGTAGTTGAGACAATAATATACATCGTACAAATTCTAATTAGGTAATTTTAATAACCTTTAAATTTAGGTTTTTGTGTTGGGTAGGTCTTTTTCTATCTCCCTGTATGCTGTAGCTGAGGAAGCAGCCAATGTGCTAAAAAAAAAAGAGCCATGAACAACTGGGTCCACTACTAGTCCCCCAAAGTTTACTGAGAAATAGTTAAACCCCTCAGCTACCTTTAACCAACTATTCACTCTGGCCTAAGTAAAGGGATTGGAAGGAGGGCAGCCTGTGGTGTCTCAGCTTTGTAGAGAGTGAAGAATTATGGTGAAAGGCTTTTCCTTCTCCTTCATATGCCTCCCTCATATTCCCAGTCAAGTGAAAGTTAGAAGGGAGATCCAAGAGAATCACAAATAAAGAATAAAGATGGGAAATATCTACCATGAGGAGATGGTGTCTTCTCATTCCCCACTTTACTATATCTGTAAAACCATCCCACCCTGGAATTTCCATCAGAAAAGAAAAGAAAAACAAAGAAAAGAAAAAGAAAAAACAAAAAAGAAAAGAAAGTGGTAAGAAATTTCTTGGGAGATCTTGGAATATGCCTTGAGAAGCCAGTGAGAATGTATTTGAACACGGACCTTAAGGAAGGAGGCTTGCTGGAGAAGCCAGTACTAGCTTGGTGATAAGGGACTACAGTTATTGTCATATAGAGAAAAAAGTATGGGGAGTCCACACTACACCTGAGTTATACATGGTCTACAGGAAAGGAGGAAGACCTTAGTGGTTCCATGAAAGTTAGAGGAGACTGATATAGAGACAAATGACATTGTGTCCCACGTAGGGAGGCATTGTACATCATGAACCACTTAAAGAGTCCTTATCCACAGAGAGGCTAGGGCGATGCTTGATTTGCCCCTATCACATCAGCAAAGGCCACCAGCATCTGAATTAGAGCAAAGTCAAGGACATCTCCCTACTACCATCTTGGTCTCTGCTTAATCATATAAGGTGACTATAGCCAACCGATAGCCCTCTTCCAAAGGAGGTTGACCTAGAAGATGGAGGAGCAGGAGACCAGCCTATGCTCTACTCCTTATTCTAGATCTTCCCAACCATAAATCTAGTCAGTGATGGGAGGGAAAGATTTAAAGATGAGTGTTAAAGCAGTACTATATTGAATTTCAAAAACAAAAGTAACCAGAAAGTATTGGACTCTGCCAATAATGTATTAGGGGATCAAAAAAAGGGGGGGGGTTGACACAGAGTGTTTGAAAGCACTATTTGGGAAAAAAGTTTTATGTTAGTATCTCCTCTGAGCTGAGACTCCTCAATAA